TATACAAAATGCCCTCATAAATTTCTCACCGATAGAAACAGAAGAATATTCGTATATCATTCAATTACAAATTCTATTTTCTCAATTTCTCTTTTAGTACTACACTGACTCTACGCGAACGTGGTTTTTATGCACCGGTAGAATACGTGAAATGTCCACTTTCCATCAGACGTGAAAAAGGTGAATCTTTTTAACATTGATTTTTTCAGTTCATCAACCATTTTGTAGTATCTCAGATGACAAAAGGCCGCTGTATTCGGTTGCTCAGTTTCTATGTTATTTGAAAATGCAATACAAGTCGATGTCCAATGCCGATACAGATGTTGCGTTTAGCTGAATCAATACTATTTTTTGTGCACGATAACGCTAACGTAACGTCTTATTTGATACCATTTGGCAATCAAAGATTCTGCGATGTCTATTTTATTTTATTTTTCGCCCCTAAATGTCCCGAATACATTATCAGGATTTTTGGGCGCAGGACATATACCTTCAAGACGACATCGACCAGTAAGTCGCATGATCAATTAAAGTGACAGCTAATTCAACTTGTCTCCCATGTTTTTAGTCCAGTTATTTACATGAGAGGAATGCAATGTTGGAACCACTCCTGAGAATACTTGTACCACATGAACCGGAGATGGAAACACTAGAAATTGTTGGCCAAGGTTTAGAAAGTCAACAAACAAGAGAGTAAGTTCTTGCTGATACATGTCGTGGGTGGATCGGTGATACTATTAAATAGATCGGAAGCAGTTTTGTGGCGCATGGTTAGACCAAATAAATAACCCACCCTTGTTTTATAGTCACGTGGTTGGCGGGCAGCCTTGGTAAATTCAAGTGTGCTAGGCTGAACTTATAAAACAGTAGTCCTCAACGCAATCCCGATGACCTTCATTAAATGGCAAGCCCTTATTTCACTAATAGGTTACAATGACAGAACTTTATAACCGCTTTTTAAGACAAAGCCTTGTACACTAATTTAATCAGTATTGTAAGCATTCCATAAGGACAAATGTCATACACCGTCTCCAATTAATTGTCATGTCAACAAGGTAACCAAAAACAAAAATGGGGATTTTCGTGTTTGAATAGAGCGGGGCCTTTGAATTTTGGTCGTGCTTTTTGAAATTAGATCACTATTTACGTTTTTGCAGGGGACACTTTACTGTGCACGTTTACATCAATCCATCAGTTTTTCAAGGTCAAATGCTGATCTATTCCATTATAAAATCCCTTAGTGTTTTCGCGAATGACGTCGAAATTTCAGCGTTTGCTCATTCTGTGAGAAATCGTTACAAACCGTTGAGAACTAGACGTCAAGGTCATAAGAATAGGCATCGCGCTGGCTTGCGGGTCCGCTAAGGCGAAGTTCCACCAACAAAGCAACGATTCCGTCCATTTATTCGAGTAACATTCCGTCACTCGTGGGAAAAATCAATGACATCCAGAATCTCGTGCATCAGAAATAATGCAAAAGTGTGGGAGTCATTTTACTCCGGGAAAATTGATTGCATCCACACAGAGGATAATGTGGTCGGACTGGACTGCTTTGATACTTTCAGGAGTTACCGGATTGAGAAATTTCGCAACAGAGGTGGCGGGGTGGTCACTTTCGTTAATCGAAGTTGGTGTAACAACATTCGGTTGAAAATGCCTATTCAACTGGCAAAGTTATTGTACTTTTGTTCGCTGCAAGCCCCGCTATCTTAGCTGATTTCGCTTTATTTACTTTGTGAATATATACTGCCCCTGATACACTCACCCCTGATGTAACACGGTTTGCTGATACTATAGTAACACAATTCGCCACTTGTATTGACCATTCTTTGTGCATTACCGCTGGAGACTAATCGCTTTGATACCTCCTTTCTAACTACTCTAGGCTTAGTTAACCTTGTCAATTTCCTAACCCGAACCAATGCCTATCTTGATGGTATTTATGTAAATGGTCCCAAACTGTTTCATGTTCTTAAAAGACCCCCAATTAGCACTTCTGATCACTGTACCACTCTTCCTTCCCCAAGATATACTGTAAACCTAACTACTGCCTTCATATTCGACCCGCCTCTCATACGTCACGGAAAAGAAATAGTCCTCCGGAGAGCTTGTCCTGGATTAGTTTCTTCTACTGACTTTTCTGTGTTCTCCAATAATCATCTGTCATTGTCTTGCGAACATCTTACTGATTATCCTAATTTCTGCTATAACTAGTGTTGCCCCGTCGAAACTATTTATATTCGAACCGATGGGTTTTCCTCACCCCTCCTTAAGCGAGTCCGTCGTGCTTTTAGCGCGGCTTACATGACCGCCAGGCGAAACTGTTTCAAAGAGCTCAATGTGCTGATTAAAGCTGATGTAATACATCTGAACGGAATGAACGTTGAGACTGTTTTGGACAATAAAAGCTGTCCTGAGATGTGGATTACCTTGCAGAAACTCTGTGGCTCACGCATCAGTTCTTGCCCCAACGTTGAGATACTTAATCGTCAAATCTCTAATGTACCTGCCTCAAGCTCCCTCCCACCATATTTTCCAACCAGTGAGGCAAAACACCAGGTTTCTCCAAATGAGATTCTCCCAGTCTTGAAGGGGCTTCTGTTTCTATCGGTGAGAAATTTATGAGGGCATTTTGTATAGCCTGGAACAACCATCAACCGAAAAGGCAGTTAGGCGAAAACTAACTTCCATATTTTCTGTCTCAAAAATATTGAACATTTATCGTTCAAAATGATGCTCCAAAGATTTGTGAGCGTTGAACGCCCTGCAAATGAATTGATTATACAGAACCGTCTCTTCAGTTTCAGGTTTCACAACATTAAACATGCATTTCAATGCCTTGGTTTTGGTTGCTATCTTTTGGCTGTTCAGGTAAATAAAAGAACAGAATGAAGATCGGAATGTTCAAAGCAGGGTCAAAGCGAAGACAGAGATTTCATATAGACAAGGGTTGCTGAAATAATGAATAGATGTATCAGCGCAAATGTTTGCGACACCCAGCCAGTGTCTCTAACGCCCGGTTACCATGATCTCGGGGTTCCCATCCACAAAGCCTCACTTGTGAGAAGTAGGTAATATAGTGGGTGATTACTTTCGACGATCAAAAATTAAGACCGAGGGCAAATTATGAATTGCTACGTTCATTACCCATCGTGCGGCAAAGAACTGCGATGGTATGTTTCTGATGAGATTTTATGTGTTATGTATGCCAAATTACCGATGTCCCATCTGAGATCCTCAGTAAACGACTATCCTCGACCGAGCACCGCCTTTTGGAATTATAACTTTAGTACCGTCCAGGTGCCTGCACATCTGTATTGCCGAAGGCTTTTGAAAATGTTTTGCTGCACCGCATGTTACCCCTTGGTAACCCCCATGACGCTTCACAGTTTGCTTATAAACCCCATCTGTCCGCACTTGACGCCGTTGCCCATTCTATTGCTTCCGTCTTAGATAAAGGTGCAGGTACCACTCGTTTAGCTTTTCCTGATTATGCAAACTCCTTTGGTTCTCTCGACCGAAAAGTGCTTATTGCACGTCTATCTGACTGTGGCCTGAGACCTGAAGTCTTGAATATACTAATCGACTAATTCTCCTGTGGGACCCAATTTACTTCACTGAATACAGTCTTCTTCTATTAATATTGAAACCGGTGTTTTTTGTCCCCTTTCTGGTTTTCTATGTATATACCAAATCTTCCCATTTCGAGCAACTTTATCGTCTGCAAGTATGCTGATGATATTGTGATTGGTTGCCCATCCCCTATTTCAGACAGTTTTCAAACTCTCCAGGACAGCCTTAATGAACTTCATGACTGGTCCGTGACCCGATCCCTTGTACTTAACGTTAATAAGTGCATTGAAGTTCCATTTTTCTTAAAGCCGGTTCCCGTTATCTTTCATTGGTAAATAATCTATCTCGATATTATAGTTAACATTCAAATAATTCCTAAATCTGGATCTGTTAGATACCTTGGGGTCACTCTAACTTGTAACCTGTCCTAATCTGCTCATGTCATCAGCGTTTTTACAAAAGTTCGAAAACTGTCTTTTTATGCCTACAGGCTCAGGAAACTGGCCGTAACACAATCTTATTCTTAAATTTGTGATTGCCTGCATTCCTCTACACTGGTTATACTGCTACCCGATTTTTATACCTCGACTGAAAGTAAAAGACTTCACTTTATTCTCGAGATTCCTTAAACTTTTGTCCGGCCATAGTGGAGTTGATACAGTTGTTTTGGTTGATTTCTTTATTTCCGAGCATCTCGATGCTCGTGGTACCTTCATTGACAGGATAACACCTGATCAAGGGCACTGTCTGCACCAAGATATCGCGAGGGCCCTGTCTAACACCCGAGCTCGCTCCAGATATCAACCCCCTCATGGGCGTACTTCCACGTATAGAAACAGTGTAATTCCATACCTCGCTCGGTTACTGGTTAATCGTCAGACTATTCTCACCCACCTCGGGGAAAAACTCTTGTACTAATTTTCTCTCTCATTTACTAAATTGTAACATTTCTTATATTGTCTTTTTTGTTTGCAACTGGTTTTATCTATCCACTTAAATAATCGTAAATTGCTGACAATTCACCCTTTGGGTGCATAAAGCGTTTCTTGGTTAACTGACTGACTGACTGACTGAATTCTGGTCAATATTCTAATGAGTTCCTTAACTTTGCAAAGCCACGCTTCAAACCAAGGAATTCTTTAAATATAGACAAAATGTTCTCCTCAGGGGTTGTAAGAACTTCGATCATGCCCAGTTTTCTAGATGATGGATTGCTGGTGACTACATGAAATAACGATCGGAAACTTGAATCAGTCTTGATCTGGAAACAGATGATGACTAATTCAAACTTAATGGCCTGTGATTTTGTTATACATATTATAATAAAGCACCTTAATAGATCATTTGGCGGTCACTTTGAGACCAATATTAGGATTATAAAATAAAATGATTCACTGTGCAATTGTATAACTATGCGGTGGATGACAGCAATAGTTAGATCAATGAATATCCAGCGGACCACTTTAAGATACTGGAATGCATCCCCTCCACTTCTTCCGAGAACTACATAATCGGATTAAACCTTTTTTGATGGAGACAGTCAAACTGTTTAGTCCTCCTTAGAGAGACACATTGTTCAACTCATTGCCTCAATCGATCATGGATATCTGAAGATTTGTGTCTAATACACAACGCTAAGCGATAAACACTAAAAATGAGTATGACCCATAGTCGGAAGAATCTGTTGGTAGTCGTTTCAGTTTCAGTTTTCAGTTCGTACAATCATTACCATGCATTTTCATGCGCTGGTTTTGTTTGCTGTCTTTCGGCTGCCCATTTGGATGAACATTAGGAGAAAGACAGGGAAAGGTTGAAAGTAGGATCGAAGAGAAAATTCAAAAGTTCAGTGGACTAATGATACATAGAAATTGAGTAGATGCCCGAACGCCACGGTTTACGACATCCAGCCATATCACTCAGTGTCTCTGACGCCCGGTTACCATGATCTCGGGGTTCCCACCCACGAAGCCTGACGCGACCCATATGACCGAGTTTCCTGGTTAGAGTTCTCATACTCTCATGCCAGGTCTCAGTTTGACCGCCCTTGACCTTTTTCCAACCGGTTCCTGCCTCGAAAATATCGCTCGCCGTGGTAACCTATCTGGTGACATGCGCAATGCATGCACCAACCACCTTAGTCTATGGAGGTCGACCACTTGCTCTAGTAGACGATCGCGATTACCTAGAGCTCTCCGTCTAACCACAGCGTTGCTTGTCCGGTTTCTCCACCAGATTCGTGCAAGGCTGCTTAGACACCGATGTTCAAACACCGACTTCAGTGCACAGGCGGGATCCCTAGACGAATAAGAAAGGGTTCTTGGTGCACTGCCTCGCTTTGAATGGTGTGCTCGAAGACTTTATTTCAATATTACAATCCCTCTATACTGATAGCCGAAGCTGAGTCCGAGTTTACGGCACCTTTTGGCCCGAGTTCACTACAGAAAGTGGTGTTCGACAGGGTTGCCCTCTCTCTTCGTTTCCATTTAACTTTGTCATAGATTTAATGCTTGAATTAGCCCTATCCGCGCACGAGGATAGCAGCATTGATTTGCTTCCAGGTGGTAGACTATTTGATCTAGATAATGCAGACGACATCATGCTGCTAAGTGAACACCCAGGTGTGTTGCAAGCCTTTCTGGACGGTTTGAGTGCTAGTGTAGTCATGTTCGTTATTCGGTTTGTACCTTCAAAGTGTAAAATGTTGCAACGATAGTGGGTTGGTCCAGCCCCCGACATCACTCTACCTGGGGAAGTAGACAAATTATGCTATTTGGGCAGCCACATCTCACCTGGCGGACGCGTCACAGATGAAGTGTCGGCGCGCATACAGAAGGCTCGGTTGGCATTTGCCAATTTGAGACATCTGTGGCGCCGTCGCGACATCCGGCTGTCTGTGAAGGATTTAGTATATGCTGCAGTGGTTCGGCCAGTGCTGCTCTATGGTGCAGAGACTTGGCCATTAAGAGAACAGGATCAAGATAGACTGTCGGTGTTTGAACACTACTGTCTACGTCGCATTGCATGAGTCTGGTGGAGAGACCGGACAAGCAANGCTGTGGTTAGACGGAGAGCTCTAGGTAATCGCGATCGTCTACTAGAGCAAGTGGTCGACCTCCATAGACTAAGGTGGTTGGTGCATGCATTGCGCATGTCACCAGATAGGTTACCACGGCGAGCGATATTTTCGAGGCAGGAACCGGTTGGAAAAAGGTCAAGGGCGGTCAAACTGAGACCTGGCATGAGAGTATGAGAACTCTAACCAGGAAACTCGGTCATTCCTATCCTGATTCTTTTGTTTTATTCACCATGGCGGCCAAAAGATAGCATTGAAAAATAGGGCACTGAAATGCATGTTTAATTTTGTGAAACCTGAAACTGAAAGCGTAAATGCGAAGGATATGTGAATGAATAATCTCGCAATTTAGTGGAAGACGTTTGACCGGAGTTAACAGATTTCAAATCCGTTTCGAGTTGGTCAAATCCTAGGAAGTGGGATCCACACAGAATCACAGTGCATAGCTCCTGGTGTCTGTAAGCTCTCATGGAACACAAAAGTAAAGGTTTAATCCATTTCTCTTTCCTTGTTTTTGGTTAAGCAGTTTGATATGCTTTTTCGCCGCGATTTGGCATTCTCACTTCGAGCAAAATCAATGTGGCATCGTACTGTGCCCTGAAACGTATTCTGCATTTTCTATCCCTTTCTTCAGTGTTGCTGTCCTGAAGCCTGCCCCGGCCCACTTCAATTTGGCTGGACAGATTAGCACCCTACCAATTGGTTTAAGCAAGAATCACAGACATGGACAGTTTGAAGCGGTCGATTGGTACGCGGCTGGTTTAGGACCGCGCGTAAGAAGAGAAGGTCAGGTAGTGGAATACAGCATCTTGGGAGATCCAGAAAATTTTTACCAAATGGCGGTTTGTCGGGGTGATATCCCGTGGGAGGTGAGTCGAATAAGAATGAAGCAATTGCAGTGTATCGGCCTCTCTGTGTGCAATCACGTTTTGAGTACCTGAAACTAAAGGAGTCATTTACATTTGCTTTCGAATAGCTAACTCAACGTCGCGCGTTTCATTCTGGTTCAAAGAGTGCAAGTCTCCGCGTCTAAAGAAAGTGAAATGTATAATGAACAGTGACCAATTATCCCCACTCATCAATCCCGTGTCGCAAGTAAACACGCTGGTTAAACTTACTTTAGATCGGTTACTGTGACTGAGTTACGCCGTGTGTTAGAAAATTAAATATCCCGTTTGTAACTGTTTATTGCTGTATGATCTTTTGGTATTGAAATTAGGTGCATCGTGTACGTATCTGAATGGCTTCTATGTGGATACACGCGCACGTATTCCAGCTATACTTCTCAGCCTTGTATACATACTTTATAGTTTAATAGTATTGCTCGCAACTATTTTGAGGAGACTCCAAAATCTGCGTCCAGTCTTTTTGTGTATGTTTAGTGTATGTTCAAAGAAGAGCAGTCGAACTCAACAAGATCACCGTAACGAGATTGAACCATGACCTTGTGTGATAGCCAAAATGCCTGCATGACTTGGTTAGTTTTCTTAGATGAAAGTTGCATTATATCGGTAAGGTCTTTGAGTCGACGTCAAAGGGTCAGACGCCTCGGTCACTACTGGCTTTCATTGAGTCATCCACGCTGACCAATGCATAGGTCATTCCAGCAAACTAACGCTTACAGAACCAGTGTACTTCTCGTGAGAGACCTAGGAAAGGGGGTATCTTGAGTTTCCTCTCAGCAATAGAGAAAATCTTCCTCGTACTTGACTGAGAAGCTACCACATATCTGAATTCGGCATCCCCTAGTAAGTGGCGAGCTGTTCTGTCTTCAGACAGTCTGCCTCACTGATTTCACGGTGCTGAGGGCTAATCCTCTAAACGTAGATTGATAGCCAGCGAAAAATACAAACAGAAACCTAATAGCCTTATGAAACAGGTCTGCACAAGTTACTATTTGAGTGTTTTGATGACATCGTTATACTAGATTTTGGTCATTGAGAGATAAGCACGGGTGTGTTGCCAAAGAAATGCCCTTCTATCTGTTTATGCTTGACGGAACTCTGCCGTACATAAAGATTTAGTTGTTTTCATTTGGAAAATCACCCTTTTCATATTTCTGACTTTTCTTACCGAGATGCCTTTTATTATTGCCAGGCAATTGCTATCGATATGGGAATAAACCTAAGTTTTCCCGCAGTTGTGGAGTTAGATGCGCTGCATTTTAGGAGACGTCAGCCATAGTTAAATAGTGATGCAAGGCTAGTCAATTGTGAAGTTCGGTTCTTAAATTCTGGAGGACCCAGTGGTTTATTCAGAAAATAGGAGCAGTGCAGCTACTCCACTTAGGTTGCTCACGCACTTGGTCTTATTTAATTTTTGCACACTGACCAATCGACCAACAGGCTTCCTTCGTCATAACTCTTGAACCCGTAAATGAAATTATCGTGTCCCCAAACAACAAATAGAAGATCTTACTTTCAGCATTACATTTCGCATTTGTAATTCCATCTTGTCTTAAAGCTTCATCCGCGGTATGTAACACTCAGTCTTGACCTACCAACAAACAATCATGGTATTGATTTATAAATTGACTGGTTCTGAAAGAGCTGTCCACGCAAATTTACCCAGTGTTGTCAGTGAGGTTATTACGATGACAATATATATATATATATATATATATATATATAAAGTGATTCTCAATAAATTATGTGATCATTGATAATACCATTTCTGGCTCGACGACGAAACTGGACACAAATAATCTGTGATGGTAATTTTCCCTTTCCCAAAACAATGTTTCTTTGGTTGAGTAATGCCTTCTATTCATTGAGATATTGTAATGTATTGGCATGACTATAAATCACCGTAAAAATAGTTCCCCAGATATGGAATACTCATTTTGATGTCCTTGGCAGTGAAATGGAAGTGACGCGTTGACTCTGTTTAATTACAATCTGCCTTCGCAAACAACCTTCCTGTCGTTTCTGGGTGACTGTGTCCCTGTTTACTGATTTATTCTTTCCTGTCATTATCTCACTTCCAACCCTTCTTCCACCCATGTCCGATTTCATTTCTAGCTAGTTCCGATCGATTTGCACGGACAAATAAAAGATCAGTTGGAACGAACAACTGCTTTTTTTGGCGGGCCCAGTCTTTTACCTTCAATTCCAGAACAGACTACACCACACTCATCCTGTTCCGTGGAACAAACCGTACCGGATAGTTTACCTCGAGAGAATGGCGTACAAAACAATCAGAAAGAAAGGCGTCGAGATCCGTTTCCGTATCGATCAAACGACGAGGATGCAGCTGCCTTGCGAAACTGGTTCGAACGAGTGTCTGAACAAAGACGTATTCAAAGTCGATTAACCAGTAAGGAAACATAAGGGGATAGTTTTTTGCCATACAGTGATTGGGTCCGATATTGCCATCTGCTTTCATCAGCACAACAATGTGTCGATAGTCAGACAAACGTTAACCTAAAAGTTAACCTCCAATCTACAGATCCGTTTCTTGGTTAGATGACTTGAACTTTGAACTGTTCAACGTGAGGTTGATTATATATATATATATATATATATAT